ACTTCCAGAGGAATTATGGTGGATGATCAGAATGGTTGTGATGTCACGCTACGTTCGTTCAATCGGTGGCAAAGAATGCACGCCTTGCTGGGGTTCGTTTTACGGTTTCTTTGCGGTTTTTTTTTTGCCAGTTGGCTGGCTTTTCTGGCTGGCGGGTTTCACCGCGGCTCGTTTCTCTATTTTCATTTAAATTAATTAAATAAATGAGATTTTTTCATTTTATTCATTTCATTCAGGTTGAAGCTTCCAGAGGAGTTCATCAGCGAAGATGTCAGGCTACGTTCATTCATTCAGTGGCAAAGAATACACGCCTGGCTGGGATACGTTTTATTCTCTTTTCTCTGTTTTTCTCTGTAATTTAATATTAAGTAAGAATGCTCACACGCACGCACGCACACACAATTACATTAAGTAGCCATATAGGTAGGTTAGATAGGCATAATTTTAATTGTAGGTAGGATATATAGGAAGCATCCAACACTAATGTATTTGAATAGGTAGGCACGTAAGTTTATCGTTTCTATTTTTTTCTTGCACCCACATTACACGCATCAGCGTATTACACACACACACACACACACAGATACATACATAAACATATGTTAGTATTTGAGAGTAATTTTATTTTCATTACACATTCTAATTTATTATTACTAAGGTTGAGAGTAATTTAATTTCATAGGTAGTTAAGGGCAATAATGTAATTCTAGGAACAATCTTGTAATGTAAATTAAAACGCTGTAAGTCTATCGATAGGTAGGTTAAGTATAAGTTTTACATTATAATTATTATGTTGGAGCCCAAGGCATTACGTAGGTGGTGGGGTGGGTGCCGAAAGGCCAATGAATTGGGCTCTTGAGTTTTGTAATTTTAGGTAAGCTAGGGCCATAATGTAATGAATAGGTAAGTTAAGGCTACGTTGTAACATACTCATTAATAGATTTAGGGTTTAAGTTTTATATTATTATTACTAAGTTGGAGCCCAAGGCATTACGTAGGTGGTGGGGTGGGTGCCGAAAGGCCAATGAATTGGGCTCTTGAGTTTTGTAATTTTAGGTAAGCTAGGGCTTAATTGTATTGAATAGGTAAGTTGAGGGTACAATAGCCGATAGACTCTGAATTTCAAAGTCTGTTGTCAGAGGTAAGCCTTGGTGGCCAGTGGTGAACCGGCAATGGTTTACTATCCGGACGGCAATGGTTTACTATCTGCACTGTAATGATTTACTATGCGGCTTGGCCATAGTCTACTACCCGCACGGCTTCCGGACGGCAAATGGTTTACTATCCGCACGGCAATAGTCTACTATCCGCACGGCAATGGTTTTCTATCCGGTGCCCTGGCTGTCGGTGAACCTCTGTGCAAGGAGGGAGAATGAAGGGGGGAATTTGGACTATCGTACCATTAACAATTTAATATAGATAAGGTAATTGAATAGGTAGATAGGATTATTTTTATTAAGCAAATTGAGATGCAGGCACTGCTAAGCTTACTGATGAGAATCTTCTCTTTATCTTTCTCCATTCCACGGCTGTGTTTCTCGGGGGACTTGCACCAGTTTTGGAGGACAACGTAGGAACCGGACCGCATTCAACATTTTGCCTTTGTCGAATGGACAACGGTAAGTTTTTTTTTACATTTTACTCTCTTTGTTATTTTAAAATACTATTTTGCCATTATTTTCATTTTAAAATTTTTTGCTTTTCAGATTCTAACATTCATTTACTACTACGCTAATAAAAAAATTTGTCTACAGAATGCTAAGAGGCGGGTTGTGGTGGGCGTCAGCACGTTTCGGATGATGGTCTCATGATGATCGTTCCGATGACAATTCGAAGATGTCAATAAATAGTGTCTGGAGAGTACACGCGCACACATTTACGCACATACATCAATACAACACACACATACACAACATCCATTCATTCGGTGTCGTTGTTATGTTTCTCTTCAACTTTCTATTTTCTTTACCGGACTTAAATTAATTCATAGGTAAGTTAGGGATTGAGATGAGTTGAACAATCGTAGGTAGGCTAGGGCTTAACATTAGTTAAAAAGTTTCAAGTAAAATAAAAACGCTAAAATATGTTAAATAAAATACCTGAAACGTGTAAAATTTCTAAAACGTAGAAATACAAATTTGTAGGTAAGTGAGTTGAGTTAATGATTATAAGCTAGGGCCCTGAGAGTAATTTAATTGTAGGTAGGTGACTGACTATTATTCTTGCGACTTTTTACTAGTTTTGTGTGATGTGTTTGTTTTCGCTTCACAACAGCACACCAACAAAACAAACTATATTTCTTTCTCGTCGTCGCCTTAAATTTTACTTTTTTGAACAATCTTTTTAATAATTTATTTATTTATTTATTAAACGTTGACTGGTTTCTAGTTTTTTTTTAAATTTGGTTATATAATTTTTGGATAATTCTTGATTTACTTTGTATATATGCATGTATAAATAATTTCTGTTTGGTATGTTGATTTAGTCATTATGACATGCTGTGAACTGTTCTGACTAAATGTTATTGTTACGTGAATCATTCTCCGAAAACTACTATGGAGTGTGTATAATAATAATAATAATAATAATAATAATAATAATAATAATAATAATAATAATAATAATAATAATAATAATAATAATGGATAATAATTATTATTTATCGGTTGATATTTTGTTATTTGTTTGTTTAAAATACGAATTTTTAAAAAAATTGACTTTTTTAAAATTTTAATTAACCGTCACGTTATTTTTGATTGAATTCAAATAAAAACAACCAATGCGTTTTTTTTCTTTACTAAAATCTCGAAATTGTTTGTAGATCTGTATGGTTAAGTGTTTGTTCGAGTTTGAACAAGCCTTGCAAATATTTTTCAATAAAATAAAATTTAATAAAATATATAAAAATTATTTGAAACCTTTGTTAATTATTTTGGTATGGTTTATTTAGTAATTTAATGAGATACTGCTTTTTAGAAAAAAAATGTTACAACGGTTGTTAGAATTGAATAATTAGTAATTTTTATAAACAGAGGAAGTCGTCATTTGTTTAAAAAGGAAGATAAGTAATTTTCGAAGAAATTAGAATAAAAGATGCAGATCTTGGCGGATCTTGGTTATTTTGATGATCAAACTGTCCTTTAATTCTCAATAAATGGTAGATAATGGAGATTTGTGATGATGTGGGATTGAATCGAAAACTTAATCTGTTCCGATGTATAGGTAAAAATTTTAACTCATCACTTTTATAAGATGTTTTTATTACTGAAAAAAGAATACATACGTTTTTTGCGATATGATATATTATCGTTATGAATGTTTATGTAGCGCTTTTCAATGTTGACCTATCAAAAGAAGTTTGGAGTTGTTGGCGCCAGTAAAAAAGTCCGACTGTCTCGTCCGCTCTTTCTCTGTGCTGGGCAATCTGTTGGCGGTTATTTGGCTGTTTATGATTACAAACTTTTTTTAATATTTTGCTGTTGCATTGTTACATTTCATGGTTACAAGTATACGTATATATGCTATTTTGTGTCATTCTTAGTTTGGTCAATGGTCATTTATATCGTGATGACGACACAAGTTTTGTGCACCTACCAGTTGCAGTCCTTTCTATCCAAATGTTACGGTCGAATGGCATTTAATTGGTAAAATAAGTGGGTCATCTGCATCACTACATCGCATTACATTAAATCTTCAAATGATTGATTTGTTATCCGGCGAATACTATCGTGTTTATTTACCATGGTTTTCCTAGTAAACTGTTTTCTTAACTGCTTCATCTGAAAGTAAGAAATATTATTTCACTAGCGATATCTGAAGAGTAATGACTCCAAGCCATTTATTAGCAATAACTAAATATTGATGATATTCTTGTAAAAATTTTATTTCATCTTTACTAAATAATTTATTATTTTCTTTGAAAATTATGTTCGATAATTTTGTAGTCATTTTGTTCGTTGAATTATCTCCGGTTGATTATTTTCAAAATTCATATTTGGAATAAAAAAAACCATTCTATCATTTAAAGATTTATTAGAACACAAAATTGTTTAACTAGATGTTTATCTGAATAACTAAAAATTGAGTTACAATGTTTGATCACGGAGATCTTTTATTACGAAATTATCTGAACAACATTCCACAACTTTTGCATTGTTTTCAAACTTTAAACAGCAGATCGTATTTTTCAACATGAAAATATTTATATTTCTCTGTTTCTGAATTTCTTTAACAGCTCGCCTGTTGAATATCTGTCTGGATGAAATGAAAGTTAGAATATGTACGTAATATAAATACTAGGTCGCATTCGAGTTGTTCATACGTGTGCTTCAACTACGCGGTATTATGTTCAAAGATTTAACGGACACTAACTGCCTTCCCAAATGCAGGTAGCAGAAGCCTGCGCGTCCATCTGATCGTTGTATGTCAGCATTGCTTGTTTGGCTGGCTCCATTCTCCAATGCATTGACTTGCAAATGTTATTTTATTTTAAAAATTTGTTTGCTTGAAATTTTATTTATCATATAACAGCTGTTCGGCTATTCTGGAATAAAAACTTTGTTTTAGCTTAATTTATCGTTCTTAATCATTTATGTTTGTTCATTGTAGTAAATATTTTTTAAACACTAACAGGAGAAATGTTCATCCTGTTTTCATTCATGGCTTTCCAAACTTCAAACGGTATCTTCAGACCACTCTTCCTCCAGTTGTCATACGTCAATCTCTTCTCAGCATCACAAAGCGTCTCTTTAGCTTTCAAAAGTTCCTTGAAGCTTTTGTCACCTAATTTGTATGGTATTTGTTAAAATAGGATGGTTAAATACAATTAATGATTTGATGTTATTGTTGAGTGGAAATGTATATGTTGGTTAGATTAAAGGCATTGAGGTGTAGCGACAGGCCGCTAAACTTTCGGCTACATGATTTGTATAATTTATTCTTCCTATTTTATTGGGAAAATTTTGAAGCAAACTGTAATTTAATTTGTAAAGTGTAGGTAATTTGCAAATTAATCTCTAGTAAAAATGTACAGAAGCACATGAACAATCTCACTTAACTAGTTGATGTAAGGTTTTTATCTGGGTGCAATTCTTTTGCTTTCTTTCTGTATTCAGTTTGTATTTGTTCCTTCTGAAGAATTTCAATTTTATAAAAAATCAATACCATTAAGGGATTTCATAGTAACAACAATAATTCTCCCATAATCATAATATACCACGATTCCCAAGTTCATCAGGTTATTTACTTATTTCAAACTTTGGTTTAAAATAAAACTACCCATGTACAATTTATTATATATGTATGATTTTATACATTATGTTTTTATAAAAATTAAAAAATAACAAAATTATATATATATAAATAAATATATATACATATATATATAATATATGTATGTATTTGTATATCTGAAAAAATTTACCGAATTTTTAGCTTTTGAAAGTTTACGGTTGAGCTTTTCAATAATTATATACATATGTGTGTGCGCGCGTGTGTGTGTCATATAGATCTACTTTGATAATAAATAAGATCGTTGGTGCAACTATGTTTAGAATTAGTTCAACGAAAAGACTTAATGATTCCAGGTTAACGAGAAGACTGGTACCATGACGATGTAATGCTTCTTGTTTTTGTATAAATATGCATATAACGGATATGATCCTCTACATCCCTTTTTACTATTAGATTTTCTCGTCTGAAATTTTTGTTAAAATTTGTGATTGCTTTTTTTGACAATTACAATTAATTAATTCCAGTCAATTCAATGAATATCTGACGTTTGATCAAAAAATATTTTTTAATAACACTTTTAAATGGTACGTTTTCGACGGCAAGGCGGTTAAGGTGCCATGCCCACATGTTTTAAATACCATGTTCAAACGCATGGAAATCTCCACCTGTCACATTCACTCGAATGTACGCCAATTAATTAACAAGTATTATTTTAACGGTACATAAATTGGCAACGAGCTGGAAAACTACAAAAATGAGATGAAGATGTCATATGGCTGTAAGTAGTGCGCTGTCAGAGTGTGGTGCAAATTAAAATTTTTTTAAATTTGACCGACCGATGAAAGTTCGTTGCATCCGACTATATCATAATAATCATTTTCCTCTCTTTCTGTGCTAAGCACAAGATTTATGGTGCTATTTACATTCATTGAATTTTTAAAACTATCGTTTCGACTTTACATCAAAATCATTAATTGCAGCCAAAAACCAAAGTTAGTTGTTTACTGAACATGAATACAAACAGATGCTCAGTGATGTACAAGTGGCACTCTAATGATTAACATATTTACTTTCTAGCGTTCTCTCTAACACCGTGAAATTTTTATTTTAAAATATAAAAATTTTAATATATATATATATATATATATATATATATATGTTAATAATAGACCAAATATATATATATATATATATATATATATATATATATATATATATATATATGTGTGTGTGTTGGTAATAGACCATAATTTTTACAATATTCTATAAATTCTACCGAATGTTTGGCGTTAATATGTTTGTAGTTCGTTTTTTCGATTTTTCTCACTAAAGTTTTTTGGTGAACGTTTAGTTTATTAAAATTCAAAATAAACTTATTTTTCGAATTCATGCTGCAAATAAGGCCATATTTCGATTCCGAATGAATCATCGTCAGTGCTCCTTGCTGTATATATAGGGAAATATTGACTTTGTCAAGATTAACTTTGACGTTGTAAAAATTAACTTTGGTGTTGTAAAATTGAACTTTGATGCGAATTAGGTGTCAGGTTTCTTAATTGGCTGGTCATCTTCTTTGGTCTCCTTTTCTTCATCGATAGCATCATATTCTTCTTTGTCACTATTTACCATGCTAGTTTTTATTACTTCTTTGTTTTCGTTGTTCGTTAAGCGCCGGGTTGGAAGTGAGGTTGTCATTTTTTGTTGTATATTTATTTTTGGTTTATTGTTGTCAATTAGGACTGCTTCTGCAATTTTAAGATGCGTGTAGTTGCTGTTCTGGTATATTACTTTGGTGTTGCTGTCGAGGATTTCACGGCTAACTGTGATTGAGTGTGTTGAGTCCAAATGAGATTTGATAGCACCACTCTGTTTATGCATCGTAAGCCTTCTAGTCAGTGAGGTAGTAGTAATCCCGATATATGAGTCATGTAGTCATGTTGACGTGCATAGCCGTCAAAGGGGCAATTAAATTCATATATTACGTGATTACGCTTTAACTCAGAGTTATCTCTAGGACTGCAGTTGTTTTTCAGTATTAGGTGAGACGTCTTTTTATTGTTGTAATAAATTCGGAGTTTAACTTTACTATTTGGGTTGGTTGGTGTGACATTTTTATTGATGATATGTTTAAGAATAGCTTCATCTACCTTGTATGCGGTTGACATGTGATTTCTGTAATACAAGATGTTGTTATCTTGATTGTTGGTACTAGGAAGGTTATTGCTGTGTAGTAATTTGCCTTTAACAATCTTTTCAATAGAGTAAGTCTTATATCCATTGTTTACAAGCAGGTTAGGGATTCTCTTTAATTCAGCGTCGCGATTTTCAATATCGGTAGAGTGTGTGAATGCCCGGTTCACAAATGATTTTATTGTGCTGTCTTTAAATTGTTCAGTGCATTCACTTTGTCTATTCAAACAAATTCCTGTATTCGTTTCTTTGACATAAACCGCGGTTTCGAATCGTTCTTTGCCACGGGTAACCAACACATCGAGGAAAGGTAAACGTTGTTCCTTTTCACTTTCAATGGTAAATCTAAGTTTTGATTAGTTTAAGGTACCAAAAAGTTGGGTGATTTGTTCAGGATCGTTATAGGAGACAAAGATATCATCCACGTATCTGGCGTAGATATTTGGTTTTAAATTTGCATTGTTTTTGAATTTTTCATTCTCCAGCTGTCCTAGGTAAAAACTGGCAAATAGGACGCCAAGGGGGGAACCCTTAGCGACACCATCGATTTGCTTGTAAAGTTTGCCTGTGGGGCTGTGGAATGGTGCTTCAGTAGTGCAAATTTGAAGAAGGGACTTCAGTTGTGCTTTCGGTATGTTCAATGGAACCATATCTGAGTGGTAAACGGTGTTGATAATTATGTCGATTGTATCATGAATTGGTACATTTGTGAATAATGATTCAACATCCAGAGAGGCAATAAATTTGGATGGTTTATTAATGCTGAGGAGATTAATAAACTCACGGGAAGATTGTAGTGTGTAATTGTTTGGAATATATAGGGTTAAAATTTTGTTCAAGAATTTTGCAACAGGGTAGGTGACAGTTGTAATTTGGCTAATAATTGGTCGGATGGGATGATTCTTTTTATGCGTTTTTATATTTCCATATAAATTTGGATTTATATATATATATATATATATATATATATATATATATATATATAAAGAATTCAGACTATCAGGTATACTGTTGTTTAGGAAAGTTTCAGCATTTTCAGCGTTACTTAATTTTCTAAATATATTTATATTTATTTCTACGGGGAAGCAAAAAAAAAAGAAAAAAGATCTTGTGGGTGGGCCACCCTAACTAAATTCAGGAATTGTTGTCCGCTTGTCAAAATATTCTTGAACTAAAATAATAAATTGAGTAAATGAATTGAACAAAATACCTAAGAAACATAATTATTGTCCGCTTGTAAGAATATTCTTTGACCAAAATATTAAATTGAATAATAAAATGAACGAATTGACGAAATAACTAAGGTGCACAATATTTGATTAAATTGATATAGATTTCCCTAATACCTGGTTGGATGGCTAGTCAGCTACGATTCTAAAGTTTCAGCGAGGTTTAAAATCGGCAGTAAACTTTTTAAGGCTTTTTTTAAATATAAAGGTGTTAATGTTTGTTATACTTATACTGACGGGAATAACACTGTCCCATAGCATTGGAGCAATATGAGATACGCTGTTTTTAATTAAATTTAACCTTGAAGGATTAATATGAAAGTATGACTTTGCCTTGTATCTAAAGATCTTATAATATGCGAAAAATTTAAGAAATTTGAAAAGTATGAAGGCAATAAATTATGCAAAAATTAGAACGTAAATATTGATTGAGAGTAAAAAATTATTTGATGAGTTTATTGCTAGCAAACCATTCTTCAAATTTTTTTAATTCTTTTTTTATCAATTTAATATCATTGAAATGAAAATTTTCTAAACAAGCTAAGGATTGGCGGAGAATCAAAATGTTGGCAGATCGTTAGCACTCGATATTCTATTAAATCTCATCAGATCTCTATTTTCTTCACATTTCTCTCTTAATTAAATTTCAGAGTTGTCAAAAACAGCATACATACACACACCACACACACAACCTGATAAAAATGATTACATCAGATAAAAATCGGATTCGATGCAATGAAACTTAATGAAAATTGACGAGTTTAATTTTTCGAAATAAACAGAAATCATGATATATTTATATAAATAGAAATAAGCTTTAGAGTTTAAAATAATAGTAATATATATATCAGGATGTTTTGGACCTGATCTCAAAATTATCCGACACCAGGTTTGGGAATGTGCTTAGGAAGTCTTTCGTTCCGAGGCTGGCCTTCCTACGATGGCACTTTTCAGTTGAATAACCTGACTGTACGTAATTACTCTTCGATCTTCTCATGTTCCGTTGTTCAGAGTTGCTGCTGTTGATGTCATTGTCGGTGATGATGCATCTGTTGTTGTTGTTACTGTTGTAGATGTTGTTGTTGATGTGGTTGTTGATGTTGTTGATGTTGTTGATATTGTTGTTGATGTTGTTGTCATTACGTAGAGTGTTTGTTTCCGCGTGGAGATCGGGGTGCGAATAATATTTTATTGGTGTTGTTGTTGGTGGTGGTGATAATGATAATGTTGATGTTTGTGGTGGTGATAGTGATAATGTTGATGTTTGATTTAACGTTGATGACGTTAATAAAAGTGTTTTGTGATGATATGCAGATGATGGATGATGATGATGATGATGACGGGCTGGCAAGGGAGGGAGATTATAGCATGGTGGAGGAATGTTTGGGAGAGCTTGTGTTCTTGTTGTTGTTGTTGATGTTGTTGTTGCCGTTATTGTTGTTGATGTCATAGTTGTCGGAGTTATGACATTTTCCAATGTTGCGGGCATTGTTGCTGCTTCTTTAAAAGTACAAGTTGTACAATGTTGTTGTTGATGTTCATTCATAAATTTATGTACATATTATTCTGATTTAAATAGGCAATGTGTGTGTTTATTATTACTATTTATGATGTGTTATATATATATATATATATATACATATTTAGAAAATTTGAACATATATATATATATATATAATACATTTATATATATACTACATTTGTATATATATATACTACATTTGTATATATATACTTGTCCTAAATATTATTTAACATATGTGTATATGTGTGTGAACGTGTATGAATTAATAAGTAGAATGAATAAGCCAACGAGAAAACTGGCAGTTTGAGCGTGCATATGACGTTGGTTGCATGTTAGTTGTGTCTCATAGTTCCCCTACACCAAACAAACATACATACATGCCTGCATGCATGTATGTTTGTTTGTATGCATGCACATACCTACAAATATACATAAACACAAATACATACATACCTATTTACATGTATCAATAAATATATTTAAACACGTAGACATGCATGCAGTGCATTCGCACAACACTTTCAAACATTCACATTTATATGCCAGCCATCGTATGCCCGTGTATAAAAAAAAGTTTAACAATGCTGCTGCTGCTGATGATGATGATGATGATGTTGAGTAGTCAATGAAGAAGAAGAAGAAGACGTTTATGACGGCGTGAATGATGATTATGAAGATAAGAATTTTTATTATTAAACGAATGAAGTCAAAATAGAAATAAACAAATTGAATAAATGATGAGATACACACAAGCACACACACGCACACAGACACACGCACATCTATCTATTCTTTTGACTTAACGAAATAGTTTTAGCAAGAAGATTTGATGAATCACCTTCATAGTGTTTTCATACATGCATACATACATACGTACGTACGTACGTACGTACATACATGCACTGGGTGTTGTTTTATGCATATGCAAACACGCATACAACTATACCTATAACACTTTACATTTTAGAAAACGCTAAAACACATGTGAGTGTATATGTGTAATAGACCAATAATATTCCTCCCCTTTACAATGGAATACATCGTCGCGTTCGACGAATTGTGTCATTGATGAGTCCTTTGATGCGAGAACAAGCCTATTCTTGATGAACATCGACGACCACAGGATCCGCAAACCCACACCCCTGTGCTGTTACCATCCCGGGCCACCTGCTTACGCCGTCCTCTTTTTCCAACTAGAGCTGCAATGCGCGCCTCCTCAAAGGCGGAAACTGCCGCTTGTGAGCGTGTCTTCCACTGTGAACGCTCGAGCGCAACGACACCCAAGGTTTTAGAATCCAGTCCGACTTTTTCTAGGTTTTCTTTCAGATTATCTTTAAATCTGCGAACTGGACCGCTTGCAAGGCGAACTCTTTACATTTTAGAAAACGCTAAAATATGTGCTAGTGTATATGCGCAATAGACCAATAACATTCCTCCCCTTTACAACAACTACAACGACAATGAGATCAACAACAACAAAATTAACAACGACAGCAACTACATTGGCAACACACGTTTTTTGACCTATATACATTTGATGGCATTTGAATCTGTTGCAACGCCACACTATAATTTTCGAAGCAAATGGATGAATGAACGACCGAACGAGTGAATGAATTTCAATATAAGCAAACAAATGAATAACTGATTGAACAAATTTATAAATGAGTAAATAGCAGACTGAATGAACTAATGTACAGACGAAAGAATTTGACAAAGCTTAAAATGATTTAAGTTTCTTAACAACAATAATAAAGCAGATGCATAGCTTAAATACTTGGAATTATAAAATAGATTTACATCCGCCGCACATATTTTTGATGTTCATATTTCAACAACTAATTCATTTTCGATTAAATTCATTTAATCATCATCCCAAAAATCTTTTAAAACAAATTCTATCAAGTCCAACGACTCCACTTTTTTATTCGTTTTTCTTCCAGGCTCATTATAATTGAACATTCTTACTCTGCTATTTATTTTCCGACATGAAAACAACCCCGTTTTAAGGTTGTTTCAGAAAGGCAACACCCCAGCGGTCAAAAAACCTGTGAACTTAGTAAAGAAGGATATAAACGTCGGGCCTGGTGATGGCGGGCCACGCATTGACATGGGATGTCACATTTCCCCACACACTGGCAGATAGATACAAAAGAAATAATTAAATAATCCCCCAATCGGCGCAGGATAGAACATGCAAAATTTACATCTTTGACATTTTCGGTTTTACTCACTCAAAAAAATCTCCAAACTAATCGCTATCTACGATCAGACCCCCCTAATTGTACTCTCCCTGGTGCGAGTACAACACGCGTGAACGATGAACCGATGTAACGAAAACCGGAAGACATCTAAGATTGCCTATCGAACATAGCAGCTTAAAAAGTTTCAACATTTTATTTTAAACATAACATATGAATTTAAATACCTAGAAACCAATAACGTTATGATTGTTGTAACATTATCATGATTCCATGTTACCGATTATAATTTCTTTATCAGGCTAGTATGGCTTACTAATGAACGAAGGAGTTCAGAAATTGAAATATATTGATTTGGAGTAGGGCCTCGTGTAATGTAGTACACCTTTTATGTTGCTTCAAGAAGATAACTTGAAATAAACTTCAGGTCATCATAATCAACGTAATGGTCCAGTCGCAGACTCAACCTTCTTTGACCCATATACAAATCTTTATGTTATGTTTATGTTATGACGACGGTGATCACCAACGTCGTAATGATGGTGATCAAAAATGCCATCAGATATTAAATGATCTTCATCGACATTTCACAAATTATGATGATTCAATTATGGCGACTAACTTTTCTTTTATAGGCCAACTTTTTAATTTTACAGTGACTTTCTGTTTTAACTGTTCTATAAATTGAGAAAGCAACACAATTTTTCCTATCATGCCTATATTATACTTAACAGAATTGCAACAACTTTCGAATTAGAGCGTACAGACCACTAAAGATCTTCAAACTTCAAATTTTTAAAAAAGTAGAATGAGATGGACTGTCATGTTTCTAAATCCTAGGGAAAAAACAATTACATATTTGGGCTCCAACCACCAAATAACATATAGATATGATCGATCGGACAGACTTGCATTGACTAGAGAAAAACTTCATCATCATCATCATGATTACCGTCATAATCATTATCACAATAATCATCATCATAATCATAATCGTCATCACAGAGTCCTTTGTATAGGCCAGGCTGGGATTGAAGGTCTTGTGTTCTTCGTCCCGCTAGCTTTATAATTATAAAAACATCTAGGATCATTATCATTACTATTACTTTCATTGTTGTTGTTATTAGCATTATTATTAATTACTCTGCCCCGATTATGCACGCCTGAACTGGCATCGGACGGTGACATCATCATCATCAACTTGTCCATATGGAAACTCGTAGGAGACCACGAATACGACCGCACGTGACCATTCACGACGCCGCACATTTGCCGCCATTTTGTCACCACCCCCTCGTTGCCATGAGAGCCACCGTGCTGAGCGTGCTGGTCGTTGTTGGGCCCCCCGACCCGGAACAACTTCAACGTTCCCTGCAAGATTTTGTGGAACCAGTAGAGGTTGATGGTGTCGAGGATAATGCAAGATGATATCAGGACGTACCAAATATTTCCCAACTGGTGGCTCTGCTCAGAACCGTATGTGCTGTACACCTTCAATTACATCAATCATGAATATTAATTATCACGATTATGAATATTAATCAGAAATTAATTATTATTGACCTTGACCCAGTAGAAAGGAATGCTGATGACTCTCACAGAGAAGAACATGACAGTCATAGAGAACCCATTCATTAGAAATGCCGCTGATGATTTCTTGTACCTCAATGTGTCCAGGAACCATCTGCATTTGTTTGTGTGTTTGTTTGTTAGTGTTTGCTTGTTTGTGTGTGTGTTTGTTCCTATTTATGTGCATATGCATGCACACACAAACAAACAAACACACACACAAATGAATATTAATTTGGTATTAATTCACATCAATTTACAAATATTTGAAATAAAAATGATGACTGCCCACCTCTTGTTGACAAATGGCGTCGAAAACTCAGCTATTAATCTGACATTTGCAAACCAGAGTAGTGCTCCAAATGTCTGAAATTGAATAAACTGTTGTAGAAAGATTATCTACCTATATTTAATTAATTGATTAATTAATTAATTACCTAATTAATTAAGAAAAAAGTTAATGTAAAACAATAATTAAATATTTAATAACATTTGTTTAATAACATTTGTAATCATCATAGTTAAAAAAAAAACAAAATCTTTTTCTAGTATTATGACAAATCTACCAAAAAATAATTATTTATTTATTATAATAATAATAATAAATCTAAAAACATGAAGATGTCACCATGGCAAAGCAGAAAGCATAGATGGAAGCGACATGATGAAACAAGAAGAATATCTCCCCTATGTCCTTGTAGTGTAGGAGGATGACGATGCCATCTGGTGTGTGGGGCCAGAAAAATGAAATTAGATGCAAAATTTTACTGCTACCATGCATAGGTGTGTTAGTGTGGCAAGAATAAGTTGAAATGTTATTACTTTTATCATTATTTGTAAATGTAAAGAAACCTGAAATCATGTAACCAACAACAATCGCACACGACACTCTGACCATATGCGACTCACCCCTGATATGTGGTCATCGGGAAAATAATTTATTCGAGTTTTAAGTTTCACTTCCATATTTATTATTAGAAAACACAAGCTATGTAAAAACCATTTATCAAAAAACTTTGATGTTTATAATGATATAACAATGAACTGGAAGCAAACAAACCAAATTGGATTCCTACTTATCTCATCCTCGTATATCAAACAGTACAGGCAGAACATACTAACCAGGAATGCATGCAGTGAAGAATTGATCCTAATTATATATAATTATGACCAAAATAGTAATAATAGTAATCAAAACAATAATTATATTAATAATAATAATTATATTAATAATAACAAATCATAAAAAATTAATATAATTATAAGAATAATATAAGCTTCCATTAAAGTTTTTGAACCTTCATTTGATAAGTCTACTGAATGATAACATACACACACATATTCATTTTGTACAATGAAATTTATTTAAATGAACTTATTCTCAAATAAATAATTAATAATATTTCTCTAATTTTTTTTGCAGCTAATACTTTTAATTATAATAAAAGCATTCTACCATCTACTATACTATATAAAATGTCTACTAAATTTAAAATTTTAATATGATTTACTTTACTTTATTTTTAAATTTACATCAGAATATTGAATAAATATTCCCAACTGATGAATAACAGAATAATCACCTGCTGCACCATTCAACTTGTTTTGGCTTGGGCAAGTTAAGATACTGTGGGAAGTACAAAGAAGATATAAGTGGGCTGATGTATTTATAAAAACCAAGGAAGGAGACACACGTAGCCAGTGAAAGGCAGTAGTAACTGAATGCCATTTCCTGCAACCTTTTTTTCTTTTATTTTTTGTTACTGTAAGTAAATATTCATCTCACATTAAAAAATAATTTATTTTCTTATCTATCCATCCATGAGTCATTCCACTCCATCAACCCTCAGAAATAGAACATCACAACACAATTCAAAATTACACATTTGTTTAAAATTTATGAATTAAAAAAATATCAAAAAAATAAAATCAAGCTGACCCAGACAAGAGTATGACGGTAATAGTCACTGACAAATACAAAGGTTTAATTTAATAAAGTTAAAGCTTAAAGGTCTATTCTATTCTATATCTATACTATACTTATAACTATACTATTCTATTACATTACACTTTTCCTAGGTTCAACAACGTGCTAAGGGACGCATCACTCAAGAAGTATGTGATAGTGGGGCATCTTTTTGTCATATAATCGAATCGAAGCCAGTCAATGTTTAACAACAACAACAGACCACCCAGGTCAAGTAAGGAAGGCAAAAACTTAACCACTGGCACTAGTTAGGCCGTCACGCCACAAAACGACCATCTACAATTATTGCTAAAACTTACTCTAACATTGAAATTAAAGTCGTGAAAAGAGTTGACAAATTAAAAGCGGCTTAATAATTCGAAGCACAAGTGAACAAAATATTTTACGAAACCAAACTGAGAAATTTAAAACTAAAAAAAAATTTCAGGGAGGGTCGGACTATTTGACTTCCTTGGATTTCATTGGCTTACTTATGAAATTACATGGGTTTTAAAAAACAAGCTATATAAAATAGTTATTTGACTTCTTATAATTCAAACAATGTAATGTAATTAAATCGAATTATGTATTTTAAAATTATTTGTGTTAATCTGAATATAGAAATTGCTTTTTGTCCGGTGAAACTCAGTGCTTTAATGAAGCCATTGTTTGGCTTACTAGGATTGAACTATAAACACCCTTTTTTGCATATTCGAGGTAGTGTTAAGTATTTAAGAGGTATTTAAAATACTTAATACAATAACAGTATCTAGACAGCATTTAAATAATTTTGCGTGGTATTGGTCATCTCGAAAAATCATTTTTTCAAGATTACACCCAACTCAAACCTCATATATATGCAAGATACGTTGATGACATCTCCATATACTATGAAGATCCTAATAAAATTAATGAACTACTCATTGTTCTCAACAAATCCAAAGTAAACTTCACCACTGAGCATAAGAATGATAAATGCCAACTTTTCTTGATGTCCTCGTCACCAGCAATGAAAATAGCATCGAAACTGAAGTCTAAGTAAAAACTACAAATAAAGGCATTTGCCTCGATAGAATGCACTGAGCAATTAAAGATCAGTACAAGAGCATTCGTCAACCGCGCCTTCACCCACTCATCATCAACCGAAAAACGTGAAGTGGAATTGAAAAAAATTGCGAATCATTTGGTAAACAACGGATACTTTGTCACTATTTACCATGCTAGTTTTTATTACTTCTTTGTTTTCGTTGTGGTTAAGCGCCGGGTGGAAGTGAGGTGTCA